TTACTCTCATCTCTCAAGCATTTTCCTACTGCAACTCTACTAATAATATCCTTAGCAAAAGAATTTAATATCTCAGTCAAATTAATTATATTCGTACCTCTACGTGACAATTTGTAAATCTTTTCGATCATAATAGCGATCTCTTCTTCTCTAATACTTCGATATGATCGAACGCTTTTGTTGCTCAAGAGATGTATAACACCGATTTTCTTCACTTGTCGCCAATACTCACTATAGGATGCAAATGCTATGTCTTTGCATTGGTAGAGAAGTGAATTTGGTATGGTCATTAATGGCCTATTTGCAAATATATGGTCTTGGACTTTTAGGATCTCGTGAGCCAGACTTGATGATGAGACGACGAGAGTTGGTTTTTGCCCAAGTTTTAGAAGCATTAGGGGTCCGTATTTGTTGGAGAGAGCAAGAAGAGACCGATGGGGGAGAGAGCTTAATTGGTGAAGGTTGCCGAGGATTGGAATTTTTAGTGGAGATGGAGGTTGGTTTCTTGTGTTTTTGGAAGAAAAGGGTTTGAAAAAAAAGATGAAGACGGTAGGAATGAGGAGGAAACATGTAAGTTGAGGATGATATGAGAGAAGATGAAGAAATTGCATGGTGGTACTGGGGCATACATAACCTGAATATGCTCAGAGGACTTCGCGCATATAGATATACTAGATCACAGGCACGTGCATCATGCAGATGCTAAAAAAATAAATTTATCAAAACTAATTTAATATTGATAATGACATTCTTTTGTATGTAGCTCAAAGGAAATTATTGCATAAAATTTTATACATTAATTCGTGAAAATTAATTCAATGAGTGTAGCTCAAAGGAAATTATTGCATAAAATTTTATACATTAATTCTTGAAAATTAATTCAATAAAAGGAGTAAACTTTTATTTAACAAAAATGATATATATATATATATATATATATATATACACATGGGGGCCACTCACTTGTTTACAATTGTGACCGGGGAAAACAACCGCGTGAGGAGATAAGCAAAAGAAACAAACATTAGTGTGAACGCACACAAGTGGGGGCCACACCTCACGCACAGACGCGTTTTCATGACGTGTTTTGAGACGTGTTTATCACAAGTGAGATTCTCTGCTATAAATAACAGTGTTCCTAGGGTTTTGGGCTGGGTGCGAAGTTGAGGCAGAGGTAGAAAAAGGCTTGGTTAAATACACACACAACAATACACACACAGAAACTCTGCCGAAATTTTCGCTGCGCACAACAATACACACACACTAGATTTTATGCACGTGCAATTCACGTGGTTAAATACTGTGATTATGTATTTTTTGTTTATTTTCTTACTAAAATTTATTCCTTTATTACTCTTTGATAATAATTTTTGCTCACTTTGATTAAGTATTTTTTGTTTATTTTCTTACTAAAATTTGTTCATCGATTACACTTTGATTATTTATTTATTTGATGTTTGTTTGAAAAGGCTATATCTAGTTTAAATTTTTATGTTGATAGTTGAATGTCAGGAGATAAATATAATCTAAAGCCAATTTAAATTTTCAGTTCATTTGGATCGACATGAAACCGAGCTTGACCTGAGGAGGTATAGTGTTATGAAAGTGAAAACACTTAAAAAATAACATTATAAAAGGAATATGAATAATAAAGCCAACGAGCCAAGATGATTGATTTTAAGTAGGCTAAAATGACAGAAAATGGTTAATGAAAAAAAAATCATAAACTGGAGATTAATGATAACTCTAGTATACTTTTATATGATAAAAACATCCACATATGCATATGAAAGCACTAAAAATCGTTTATGAAAATACCTTCTAAAGATTCCTAATTTTACTAAAAAATAAAACTATTCTATAACAATTCACAAAACATTATCTTTTGTTACTTCTATTTTTTTATTGAGCCGAGATCAATCATTCTTCATCTTTACCTTTTCCCTAGCCAATTCTAGAGTAGTAGTGTCTTCATCGTCTACATCGATTTTGATATGAGACTGGAGCATGTAATCTTTCCTTCACTAGTAGAAAAACCACCAATCTAGACGGAACAATTTAGACGAAAAAAAATTCCGTCTAGGTTGAGTAAAACTAGACGGAAATTTTCCGTCTAGATTGTTCCGTCTAGTTTGGATCAAACTAGACGGAAATTTCCATCTAGTTTGACAAAGTATACGGAAAAGGAAATCTAGACGGAATTCCATCTAGGTTGCCGAGCGACCTAGACGGAATTCTGTCTAGTTTGATTATCAACCTAGACGGAATTCGTCAATGATGATAAGCATTATCAACCTAGATGGAATTTCGTCTAGGTCACTCAGCAACCTAGACGAAATTCCGTCTAGATTGCCTAAGGCATCTAACACCTCCACCGCCTCAATCTCTCACCTCCTCTCACATCTCTCCTCCTGTCCCTCTCTCTCTCTCCCTCTCCGATCTCGGCTATTGCCTCCCCTCGACCCCCTTCCCAGCCTCCCTCGCCCCTTCCCAGCTCCCTCCCACCACCCTTCCCAAGCCCATCTCCGCCGCCACCCCCTCCCCTCTCCTCCTTAGAACGCCCTACCCCATCTCTCCTGCCCCCTCCTTTCGCAAGCCGCCCTCCCCCCCTCGCCCAGCCTTTTCCGCCCCTCCCACCCCCTTTCCCCCCTTCCTTAGGGCCGCGGGGCTCTCCCACCCTCTCCCCCTTCCCGTCCCCCATTCACCTGCCACACCTCTCCCCTCTTATCGCCTCCTGCCCTCCCCCATCCCTCCTTAGCCATCCCCTCCCTCACCCGCCTTAGCCGCCCTCCCCAGCCAGCGCCCCACCCTCCCCACTCCCCTTACCCCCTTTCCCTTCCCTCCTCGGCCCAGCCCCTTACCCCCTTCCCCTCCGCCTCCTCCTTCACCTGCCGCAACCCCACCTCCCCCTCCCGTCCCCCCTTCCCAGCCGCCCCCTTCGCACTACATTAAAAAACCATCCTAGCTTTCTAACTGTCCAACCGTGATCACTGGCGCGTCCATTGTTTCATCTTCTTAAAAAGGTATGATTTTTCTACTGAGCTTTAGAATTTTTAATATTATTATTATTTATTGTTGAATTTAGTTTTAAAACCCTAATTTAGGATAAAATAAACGAGTTTAATTCTTAAAACCCTAATTGAAAAAATATTAGTTATGAATTAACCCTAACTTAACTACATGTTAATTTATTTGAACAACACTAGTAATCATAATTTTAATTAAACACTTATAAACCCTAACTCAATTAAGTTTCATTCGTGCCATAAGTAGGTGTGATTATTTAAGTTTATGATGTGAAAATATGTGAAATAAAATTTTTTTTAAATGGAGTGATATATAACACATTATAATTTTTTATAATGTGTTATAATCCATTTTAGGTGAATGAAAAATAACATTATCCTTAGACTTCCGTCCAATAATTACATCCAATTCTTTGGACTTATAATATATGATATACGACTCAGATTTGGGTAGGAGACGAAGTTTTCTCTCAAAAATGAGCGTTTATTTTATATTATACGAATAAAGAATTGGTACTAAAATTTGTAATTATTGAATCTGTCCTTCTCGGACGGGTTAGGAATATAGTAGTGCATACATTCAACTTTATATACTTTGTATATTTTCATTCTTGAAAGTTTTGGCAGCATGTATTCGTTGTTCTCCGTGTACAATAAGCGTATGTTGTTCTACGTTTTGGGCTATTGCTGATATGCATAATAACATCCGCATAGTATACAGTGAGAATAGCGGGTAGATGCTGTCGAAATTTTCAAGAAATAAAAATATACAAAGTATACGAAGTTGGATGTAAGCACTACTATATGCTTAATGGATAGAAGCCTTCATTTGACAGCCGCTAGATTAGTGTAATTAGTTTCTACGTACGTTATATATATATTATGTAGATAAATATTCATATTATTAAATGATATATGAACGTATATTTGATGTGTGTTGAATGTATAAGAGTCATGGATGTACTAGTAGTTGTGAGATTAATCGTAGTTAATAATTATATATAATTTACAGATGAGGATAACTCCTAACAAATCATGGATAGATATCCCACGGCTTTATAGATTTCATGACACGTGATACAAGGAGGGATGTGACGCCTTCATGCGTTATACTAAAATGAATCCGAGAAATTTAAGAAGCGGTGCTATGTATTGTCCTTGTTGTAGGTATAGGAATATGAAACTGTTGAATAGAAATGATATACGGATCCACCTAATAAAATCAGGTTTTGATGAAAAATATAAATATTGGAACTTTGAATAGAAATGATATACGGATCCACCTAATAAAATCAGGTTTTGATGAAAAATATAAATATTGGAACTGGCATGGGGAAGGTATCACTGAAGTTTTGATGAAAAATATAAATATTGGAACTGGCATGGGGAAGGTATCACTGAAGATGAGGATCCAAATATGTGTGTTGGTACGTCTGGTGGCCAACGAATAGATGACACAGAAATAATGTTGAATGATATTTTTCCTCGACCTATAGAATATGATGTTGATGATAATGTCGAGGATGATATCTGAGATAAAAGTGAAGATGATATCGAAGTTGAAGTTGAAGAGGTAGGAGATATCGAAAGTGCCAAAAATATTAATGATATGCATTCCTCTGCAGAAATAAAGCGAATAATAGAGCTACTAGAAGATAGTGAAAAGGACTTATATGAGGGATGTACCGAGCACTCCAGATTTTCATTTATGTTAAAACTCCTACATATTAAGACACTTAGCGTATGTCAGATAATTATTTTGAAATGCTTCTTGATTTGCTTCGGACTATAATTCCTAGAGGAAAGAATAGCATATCCCAAACAACTTATCAAGCTGAGAAGATTGTCTCTGCTCTGGATCTTGATTATAATAAGATTGATGCATGTCCGAATGATTGTATTTTGTACCATAAAGCTAATAAAGACCTTCAAGAGTGTTCGACATGTGGAGTTTCTAGGTGGAAGCAACGCACAAATTCTTCAACAAGGATTACAACGGAGATAGGGATAACGTAGAAGAAAATTCCAGCCAATGTGCTTCAACATTGTCCATTGGCTCCTAGATTGCGAAGATTGTACATGAACAAGGAAACGACAAAGAATATGAGGTGGCACAAGGAAGATCGAGTAGATGATGGTAAATTGAGACATCCTGCTGATGCTTTAGCTTGGAAGCATGTTGATAAAATTTATCCTCGTTTTGCCGAAGATTGCAGAAATGTAAGACTGGATCTATCAAGTGACAGATTCAATCCATTTGGGGTACTGAGCTCTGGCTGGTCTACGTGGCCAGTTGTATTAATGCCATTTAATTTACCTCCATTGCTTTGTATAAAATAGCTGTTTATGATACTTTCATTACTAATACCCGGTAAGCATGCACTGGGAAATGATATTGATGTCTACTTAGAGCCTCCAATTGATGTGCTGAAACAATTATGGTCTGAGGGTATTTTAGCATATGATGCCCATTTAAAAGAGTCGTTTAGATTACGTGTTATTCTATTATGGATGATTAATGATTTTCTAGCTTATGTTAATCTGTTCGGGTACTCTACGAAGGACAAGTGTGCTTGTCCTGTATGTGGTCTGGAATTTGAAGCTCTTCAATTACCACATAGCCGAAAGAGTTGTTATTGGTTTAATCGAAGGTGGTTGCCCTTGAGTCATAAGTATAGAAAATTATTAGCTATGTTTGATTGCACAGTTGAGAAGAGAATGAAGCCGCGTCAGCTGGCAGGTAATGAGATTATAAAATTACTTGAGGGTTTTCCAAAAGTTGTGATTGGAAAAAATCGCTATGCCATTTGTCGCACGTACCTCTGCGTATTTGATTGACAAGATTGACCCGGAGCTGCATATTCAGGTGACTAATGAGATAACTAGAGTTGCGCTGATGGCGAACTCGATAGACGATCTCATGGGGTATGTTATACAATATTTAGACAGTGCGATTCCTTATAGTGCATATGGTGGTATCATACGGATCATAAGTTCGATTGGCGATAATTCCAGCACTAGATAGAGCAGCGCTCAGGTACCTTATTTTTTCTTATATTTATAAATTTATTTTTATTTAATATTTTATCAAACATCACATAATGATTATTCAATTAAATATCCAGAGTGGAGATATCAGAGGGAGCAACACCTGTTCTCGTAACCGGGATAGAGATACTGCTGACGACGACGATAGATGAGGTTTTTTTTGTTTTTAATGCAATAAACAGTTTTATTTGTTATAACACTATATTTATTCATGTCGTGTATACTATCTTATTCATATACATTGTTAGTATATATGTTGTTGGATGTATACATTAGACGGAATTGGTTGATGTATATTTTGGATTGGATGGTTGGATTTGTGCATTGTGTTGGATTTGATTATATTTGGTTTTGAATATAATTGTTATGAATTTTGATTATATTTGGATGGTTGGATGTATTCATGTACATAGTATTTATTGGATGTATTCATGTAATTGTACAAGGAAACACAAATTGTAAATAATTTTTTTTGCTAAAAAAATATCAACCTAGACGGAATTTCATCTAGTATGAGTCAAACTAGACGGAAATTCCATCTAGGTTGTTATAATCAACCTAGATGAAAATCCGTCTAGGATGATAACCTAGACGGATTTCTATCTAGGTTGCTAACCTAGACGTATTTCCATCTAGGTTGGTAACCTAGACGGATTTCCTACTTCCGTCTAGGTTGATTTCCATCTAGGTTAATCAACCTAGACGGAATTCCGTCTAGTTTGACCTAACCTAGACGGAATCAGACTAGACAGAGTAAATTAGATGAAATTCCGTCTAGTTGTACCAACCTAGACGGGAAATGGAGCAACCTAGACGGAAATTTTCGTCTAGGTTGCTCGTTTTTCTACTAGTGCTTGGGCTCATTAATCTTTAGTCTTCTTGTCTAAATTCACAAAGAAGTTGAATATATTTCTTATATTCAACACAAACTTCTGACAATACGGACTTTGATTTTTTCCTATTTTAATAAGAATAAATGTTAATTTCATATATATGAAATTTTTTATGCTTTTAATTTATTACTTAAATAAGGTTAGGAGCTACCTTTTTTCTCTGCAATGAATTCTTCTGTTGTGCATCCAATAATAATTTTAGCTGTGTCATAATGTTACATTTGCTCTGTCTGTGTTATTTTCCATGAGGATCTGAACTAAATACACTAAATTTTTATTGTCAATTTGCTTTAGATTATAATATTAATATTTAATTTTGATATATTTATTTCATGGAGAAGGGATATCACTTAAGCTTGGTACTAAATCATCGGTGATTCTACAATATTTATCATCTGGACACTTATTATTAACATCTTTATCCACTTTCTTATTGCCGCCTTTGCAAACATAAAACTACTGCTCAACTCTATTATAAATGGTAATTATCGTTACCTTAAAGGTGCGATAGTGTGTCTGTATATTGGTAAATTATTCTTAGGTTTAATTGTATGAAGTTTAGAGTAGGTTTTCTAAGATCAAACATTTTTCAAATGTTATAATGGTTGTATATATTAGTAATTTGAATTTTTGTTATATTTATTAAGAGCCTTAATAAAGATGCTTTTGTCTTGGCACCTTACTCTAAAAGAGCATTGTATATTAGCTTTAAAATGTAATATTTTTTCTTTACG